AGAAGTCGTCAGAATATTACAGTGAAGTGGTGTTTGCTTGCTTTGACTGAAAACCTGAAACACTCAGATGCCTGTGCCGCATTTTCCTATTAAAACTGCCAAGAAACAACAAGAAACAACAAGAAAGTGTGAAGTTTACTTAGAGTAAAAAGTTTACAAGTTCAATAACAGTTTGTGAATCAGTGTGGCTCGTTTGAGGAGAATGCACAATTACTCTGATGGATAAATGACACGTGTTGATTGAGAGTCTGTTTCACTGATGAGTTTGTTACTAATATCCGTCGCTCGCTCTGTTTTCACTGACTGGGAAATAGAGACCGGGGTGACTAGACATGACACGTGGGACACGGGAACAGAAACTAAACACAAAGATGAAAATAGAGGGAGGGAGAACTAAGATTGCTGAGAGCTTGAAAAATAAGAATAACCAAAACCAAGAGCAACAGTAATCAAAGAACATTAAACCAAAAACACAAACACTGGATCATGAGACCCATTTCCATGACAACTATGACAGATAAGAAACATGTGGGGTGATTGGTCCTGATTCAGGACAGAGAAGAGACTTCATTGGTTGCTGTGCTGGCACACTCACACCTGACCCAACATCAGGCCCAGAAAATGGGCAGATTCACTTAAGTTGCAGCTCGTTACCTGTTTCAAAGGGATCCAGTGTTGTTTTTTACACATATATAACTTGGCTGCATAAATAATTGGAAGCTGAAACTACAATATAGAGAATCAGCCCAATTAAAAAGCCCTGCAATTACATATACTCAAGGTTATGTTTTTATTGTAAATGAAAGGAAATAATCAGGAAATGAGTGTTTAGCAGTCATAATAAGAGCTGACTGAATTCTTTAAATACTAAGTAAAACTGCTTCAAAGCTTCCTTTGTAACCTTCTTAACTAGAACATAGTCTGGTAAGTAGATGTGGGAATCAAGATACCCCACAATACGACATCTCAATGTCACTCATGATACAGTATTATTGAAACAACATACAAAGAAACTAACTAACATTTTGTCAGTGCTTAAAAACAAAAAAACAGAATCAAATTTCTTGGGGGAAAAAGACGAATTTCTATAGCAGATAATTAAATAACAGAAAAGCTGACCTACAGTGACCTACAGTGAAGTTTCATGGTTAAACAAGGTTTAATCCTGTAACATTATTTCAGATGCTGTGCTTAGTAACACCCTGACTCTGAGCTCTTTGATGACTTTCAACAGCAAGTAAGCAAACAGCAAATACCTGGAAAACGAACTCGTCCTCACAATTGTGTGATGCTGCACAATTAAAGGTGGATTCATATAACAAAAGAAAGAACTATTTTAGTCCTTAACAAAGCTCTATGGCGTCTCTCACTGCTAAAGTATTGACTTTGGCTCATTGGTCTAATGTAGACATTCATTTAAATACGTCTATGCCAACATTTGCATTGTTTTCTTTGTGTCTCACAGATTTCATAGAACAAACAAATGGACTCAGAGGACCAGCTGGTGCAGGCAAATCCAGTTTATTCAACCCTGGTGACATAATTTCTAGAAGGCAGAAATACTGACATTGTTCCTTGCAGCTGTCGAAGGACTTTCAAAACACAGAGATGTGATGGTTGAAGAAGCACAGATTCATTGTGGGCATTACAGTAAGTGCATTAAAGGGTTTTTGTGCAGTGTGTGACTAATATTTAATCAAAATGATAGCTGGAAGACAATCAGTATCGGGTGCATGTGGAGTGTTTGAAGTTCTGCCATAAAATATCTTAGTTTGATAAATGATGACAATAAAAAAAGGGTTGAGTTGTAACACAATCACATCTTTCTACATATGAATGATCTCAAAAGTTTTATAGTATGATGGTAACTATAGAATAACATTAAATGGATTAAATAAAACCTGAATTACCAAACAAATCGTACAAGAAAATACTGCCATTAAAAACATGTACACGCTATTTTAAATTTATTCGTAAGCTTCGACATTGGAGACTCTACTACATCTCTGACCCTGGACTCTTTTGCTGGCTCATTCTTACTTTCATTTAGGTTCAAGTTCTACAAATGCTTTCTGCACATTTAGACTGTTACGACCCCCTCTGCTAGGGGCCAGGGGGAGAGTAACAGCTCTTACACAGGAATCTAACAGAAACAGGGATTGTATTACCAATTGTATAACTGAAAACCATGAGGGCTGCGCACAGCAAGCCACTGGGCAACGTCACATACACACACAAAGGGCATTTTAGATAAGTAAATGAGGCTTGAGGAAGGGAGGAAGAGTAACTCAATACAACAAACCCTACTCAGCTAACCTCGGCTTTGCACACACAGTTTAACTAGTAGGCATTCACAGCGAGCCGAAAAGGCAGACTGCGCTCTCTGTAAAGCAGGGAGAGTGGGATCACTGGTGACGTCTGAAACCTCGGATATTACAGAATGTAACGCCTGCATATGTGTAAAAAAAAAAAAAGAAAAAAGGCTTTGATTTTGCCACCCTACTTGATTTCTCCATTTGCCACCCTAAGAAAGTTTCTCTAGATCTGCCCCCTTTTGGTGTCATAATAAGAGCTGACTGAATTCTCTAAATACTAAGTATTCAAAGTTTCAAAGCTTCATTTCTAACCTTCTTTATTAGAAGACACTCTGGTAAGTAGATGTGGGAATCACCAGACACCCCACAATACAACATCACAATAGGTCTCTCATGATACGATATTATTGCAACAAACAAACAAACTAACTAACATTTTGTCAGTGTTTAAAAGCAAATAAACAGAATCAGTTTTGGGAGGGAAAAGATGAATTTCTATAGCAGATAATTAAATAATAATGTGTGCTGTATTGATCCCCGTGGGGAAATTACTTTTCCCCATTTTACTCATTCACTCAGTGAAGCAGTGGGCAGCCACGCAAGGAAGAGGTGTGGAGGGACGGTATCTTGCTCAGGGGTACCTCAGGGTAGCCGTTCAGTGGATTCGAACCCCCGACCTTCTGATCATGTGGCAACCACTCGACCTACTGACCTATCTAATTAAAACATGCTTAAAAGGCAAAAATTCATTGGGCTGTAGTGGAGTCCTAGCTGGGCTTTATGTTTGACACCCCTGATCTACAGAGACTGTAAAACTTTACTGCTTGGAGATGTTTCATGAGGTTATGGTACTACGGTGGCCCCTAGAGACAAAGCATGTACAAACTCCAAAACACGTGCAAACTCCAAAACACGTACAAAATCCAAAACACGTGCAAACTGTCCTGTGGTCTCAGCCTCAGATACTTATCAAATCACACAAAGCTCTTGTAGAAACAAACAAACAAATGAACAAAAGATGTTCTCCTTCATTTCTGTCAAACAAAGTTGTATGACACGTTTCCAGCGGTTAGTATCATGGTTGCTAGGCAACCTGGGAAGCGCAACGGAGACTAGAGCGTCCTATACAGCCCATGTTTGCAACAAACTTGCCGTTTATTTTGCAAATCGAGCTCAACACTGCCCCTAGCGTCCTGGAGCACTTCTGTTGTGTTTTGGAATTTGCATGTGTTTTGGAGTTTGTGCGTGCTTTGTCTCTAGTGGCCACCGTACAGATCAGGTTTAATCCTGTAACATTATTTTGACAGCTTCAGACACACTGACTCTGAGGTCTTTGTTGACTTTGAACAGCAAGTAAACAAAGAGCAAATGCCTGGAAAGTAAACTCCTCCTCCTTTATGATGTCATGGTTAAGTATTAAAGGTGGATTGATATAACAACATAGAGGCCTTTTTTAGTCCTTAATAAAGCTCTATGGCGTCACTCACTACTAAAGTATTGACTTCTGACTCATTGGTCTATTGTAGACATTCATTTAAATACATCTATGCCAACATTTACATTTTTTCCTTTATGTCTCACAGATTTCTTAGAAGAAAAGAAAGAACTCAGTGGACCAGCTGGTGCAGGCAAATCCAGTTTACTTAACCCTGCTGACACGATTTCTATAGGGCAGAATTACTGACAGTGTTCCTTGCAGCTGTTGAAGGACTTTAAAAGCACAGAAACATGATGATCGTAGAATATACATTCATTGTGGGCATTGTGCGTCACAGGTTTGTTTGTTTTTTCCGTCTAAAGTGTGCAGTCCAGTGAAACAGTGGAGCTCATGAATAATATTTAATCAAAGACAGGACTGAAAGACATCTTAAATCACTGCTGAGTAGGCTGCAGTGGATGGACAGCGCATAAAGTTCTCCCATTAAACATCTTAGTTTGATAAAAGAAGGACCTTTTTTTTTTAAGGAAAACTACTGGCGGCAGCTAGCGTTACCTCTTAGCCTCCTGGTATCAATGATAAAATCCTAGTGGAATTAGTCATTGCATTTACAAGACTTCTAGAAAATGTGACCTCTGACCTCTGATGTTTCAGTAAAAACATTCAAATAAAAAATGACGCAAACTTTTAGTTAAAATTTGATATAATGAAACTAAAACTTTGAGTTGTATTTATATCAATTTCCTCCTTTATTTTATTTTATTTTTCTCTGTCTTCCTTGTTTAAAATACTTTTGGAAAAGCAATAAATAAATCGTTGGGGGAAAAAAGTTTGAGTTGTAACACAATCACATCTTTCTACATATGACGGCAGAAAGATATAAGATTATATGATGACAGCAATGATAGAACACCTTTAAACGATGAAAACCTGAATTACCAAACAAATCATACAAGAAAACGCTGCCATTAAAAACATCTGTACACTATTTGAAATTCATTTGTAACCAGCTTCTAGATTACAGACACTACTGCAATCTCTCACCCTGCAGTCGGGCAGACACGTCCATATTCAAACTTTGGACCTAAACCTGCTCGTAAAAAGATCAATAATTTGCATTTACGTGACTGTTAAACTACTACTGGTGTTGCTCTTTAATAGCCTCATCTAAATAGCTGGATTATCAAACTTCCTCTTGACGACTAGCGGAGCTTATTGCTCTGGTTTCATTTACCAGGAAAGCAAAACTTAAAGGGAGCTACGACTGTCCTCACACAAACAGCAGCAGCAGACTTACACAGGTACGTTCTCTCATTTCCTGGTGGATTCATTTTTACTTACTGTCACTCACATGACTTTACCCTCGTCTCTAATGCAGCATTTATTCTACATTTAAAGATACAATGAAGTGGGTTTAACATGGAGTCAATTACATTGCACTTAGTCCGCCTTCTCTTAAATTACAAGCACACTCATTCACATAAAAATGTCTGCAGTATTACAGCTTTAAACAATATAATTAGTTTAACTTTCTGAGAAAGGGAGAGGCGAATATCATGAAACCAGAGCCAAACCTGACAACATAAATAAGTAAAACTGTGGGTTAACAAAAGTGTAATGAATAAGTGGGGAAAATAAAAGCATGTTTGGTCATGGCTATAAAATATGCTTCACTTCTTTGTTAAAGAATTACTTAGTTTGCTTTGTTTAATTAATCCTCTGTGAACTGAGTGTTGAGCGATCCTTCCCTGTTATTTATCTGAAGCTGACAGGAGGCTCCAGCCAACAAGTTACAGATACAAGTTATTAGTGTGATTTTCTCTCTTTATGTCACAAAGTTAAAGCTGTTTGAGAAAACAACTTTTCTCACTAACAAGCCTCTCTTAACAATCTCTTAATTAAAAGTAAACTCTAATATTAAAAAAGTAACTTTTGATTTCAACTGAAGAAAACAAAATTTTAAAATGCAATTCCAACCCATGATGGATGTTTTTAACCAGAGAGGAGACAAACAATTAAAACCTGTTTCAGTGTTTGTGTGGCTGAATGACTATCAAATTATAAACTGGGAATAAATTTAAAGCTGTCTTAATCATTAATAATCTGTTAATCACTTTTTGCAGTCAACACATAATCATTTGATGCTTCACTGGTAAAAAAACATGTAACGAATGTCAGAATATAAAGTATGCATGAACAATAAAAACAGTGACTTCTTAAATCTCTACAGGATGAAGATGTTTGGAAGAATGATGAGCTGCTGTGTGGCTCTCCTCCTGACCTTCAGCTCTGTGTCAGCTGTAAGACGAGCGCTCAACTCAATCACTGATCTGAGGTCAGTAGGCTTTGGCCAGTCTGTGCCCGAGTACAGCCTCTGCTTGCTCCACTGGTTTGCAACCACAGTTGACTTTGACAATAACAACATCATCCTGCTGACCTTTGACCCAAACCGTGGTGATTATGGCTCACATCATTATCGCAACGATGAACAGCTGTTAGACCCACTGCCCAGGGGATACCGATACTACACTGTCGGTAACATCTACCAAGATGCATCACTGGAACTTCCAGATTATGTCGTGGAGTCGGACACTGAGGACGGTAACAGGGCTCGCATTATAATTAGAGTCAGGGGGCGCAACGCAGTACGGACAATAGACCAAGTCTATATCACACAGCATTATGAGCCATATGAAGCTCGAGGGACAGAGTATGATCCACAACATACATATCGGGTCACTACCTGCCTTCTAAGAGTGTTGAGAAAGTTTTCCTTGCATCTCAATAACATCAACTCACTGGCTCTCAGAAACAGAGTTCATGACTCCCAGCTATCAGAGATAAGAAACATGTGGGGGGACCTCGCTTGTGTTGGACTGTTGTTGTTTATTGTGATCCCAGAAAAATATTCCTCTCACAAACGCAACAACAGACGTCAGCCAGCACCAAGAAGCAACACACAAAGTTATGTTGTGGTCAATATCCCAGAGAGCAGGGAAAATGGTGACTCTGTCGTCCTGGACACGTACAACTCTGATCCTTGGCATTACACATCTCCCTCACGAAGAGACAGGTGCAATGAGACAAACCGGGTTCAGTGTTTATTCTGTTGTTGTTTTCTAACAATTATTTTTTCAGTCTTTCTTATTATATACAGTGGTGCCTTGTCTCACGACTTTAATTTGTTTCGTGACGGAGCTAATAAGTCAAATCATTCGTATGTCAAAGCAATTTTCCCCACTGACATGAATTGAAATGCCATTAATCCGTTCATAACCCGAAAAAACATTGAGAAAGGAATTTGTTAAATGTTTTTCAATAAGAAAAATGTACTTATAAATAACAAATATTATATAAAAACACAATAAAATTGGATGCACTGCAATAATCTGGTCTTATTAAGCATAATATACTTCATTATGGTGCAGAGTGTTTGATTATTTCTGTAGTTTTGAAAACACTGTTCAATAAAATATATTTTCATGTGTGTGATGGTCATTTTGTGATGTGTCGTAACTGCCTTGACTCAAAAGTCGTATTTGATATAATAGTTAATGTTTTCAATAATACAAATTTCCTGGAGATCTGCTGACCTAAAACCAACACGATTCACTTGATTCAAATCCATCTCTGACTGTTTGTTGCAGGACTTTCATGATTCACAACTTAGTGTATAAAAAACAGCAGATAAGATATGTGGCCGACAATAAGAGAAGTAACGAGGCTTTTATTATAATTACAGTCAAGGAGCAAATTGAGGCATTGATAACAGACCAAATGTGCATCACACAGCATTATGAGACATGAAAATCAGCGTATGAGGTCTAATCCAGAGCATACATATCAGCTCACTACCAACCTGCTGAAGGAGATCAGAGAGTTTTCTGTGGAAGAAAATGACATGAGCTGACTGATGGAAGCAGTGCTGATGATTCCAGCTGAGGCAGATCAGAAACACATGGGGTGACTTTTCTTGTCTTTGACTGTTTTTCTTTATTGTTTCTGAGGAAAACTATTCCTCTCACAAACACAACAATAGACCTCAGCCAGCAGCAGGAAGGAGCACACAACGTTTTTTGTGGTCAGACTTTGAGCCCCTCTCAAGTGACTGAACTCCTCTTCCTATTTGTAAGGGAGAGGCCAACCACCTTTCACAAAAAGCTTATTTCTGCAGTCTCGTTCTTTCGGTCACTACTCAAAGCTCGTGACCATAGGTTGAGAGTAGGGATGTAGACAACTAGTAAATTGACAGTTTTGCTTATACCCTCAGCTCTTACAACCTCACATGTTATACTGATCCTGACTCTGGACAGAGGAGACTCTTCATTGACAGTAGTTACCACGCTGACACCTGACGCATCGTCAATCCTGAGATACTACTTCATTGAAAACAATGGGCGAGGGCAGCTCAGCTCATAGTATCAACTTATTTTACTTCCTTACTTACGGCTCAATAAACAAGGTCTGCAGCTAGATACATCCAAGGTGTTAACTCCATTTATAGTTATTCAATGTTTTATTTTGAAAAGCCTCAAAAGGATATGGTGCGATACGATGGTTTTACCATCGTTGTTGCACAAACCAACGCGTAAAACAGTCTCATCCATCCAGAGTGTTTTTTAAAATATAAGAAAAATAGACAACTCCAAGAAGAAATTAAGAAAGCCACTACACAAGGTGACTTCTTTACATTTTTATTTTTTACTTGTAGGCCAGAAACTGCTAGAGAATATTTATCAGGGTTACTCTATATTATGTTAGGAGGAACTGAAAAGTACAAGCGTTCAGTGTCTCAATAAGCAAAGTTGTTTTGTAGAACATATCCAAATATTATACAAATTTCTGGGCACTTCATGATTTTCAGAGCCTTTCCCCTGTCCTACCAGGCATAGTGCATGTTTAAAGGTGTTATGATCCAAACGAGTGTCTGGTGTTTTTCAGCTTGGTTCCTGTTTTGCTGTGTCCATCCGTGAAGGTTCCACACCTGCATCTTCCACCTGTAACCCATCAGCGCCAACCAGCAGGATGACATTTAAGACCAACTCATCCCTCCATTCATCACCAGTTCATCAGCTACCTCACGGTGGTAACTAGGTCTTCATGTCTCTTGTTATTCATCTGCTGATCATTCCATGTACACCAGTAGTCCTGCTGTGATAATACAGAGCTGTCACGGCTGGCGGGGTGAGCCGTGTGGTGTTGGAGGAAAAGGAGGACCCAAAATGCGGCAGTGACTGACGATTCGAGTGACGTTTATTTACAAGTGGTGGAGTGGCAAAAACAGGCAGTGAGGCATGACAAAACAACTGAAGAAACCTAAACTGGGAGAACTAAATGACAAACCTGAGACCATACAATAGGGGTGTGGGGCAGAGAGACGCAGAGACAGGAACGGAACACCATAGAATGCAGACGAGCCGACAAGGAACACAGACCGACACCCACTAAATATACACGCACACAAGGTAATCGGGTAATCACACACAGGAGGGAAGAACAGCTGATCTGAATACACATGATGACTGGAGGACACAAGCTGAACACAATGACAACCTTCAGAATAGAGCAGGAATCCAGAACACGAGCCTTCAAAGTAAAGCAGGAAACA